GCGCCCGGTCAAGGACTTCTTAAATCTTCATAGTTCACATTCACGAGCCCCTCGGACGACAGCTTACCTCCCGCCAGGCCCCACGTGGTGATGAGCAGCGCGCACACGGCAGAACTGCGGGAGGCCGGGAGCAGAGGCGGCCCTGAGCAGACAGCACGAGCTGGAGGTGGGGGCTACACCACCCGGAAATCCGTCCCACGGTCACACCCACGCTACTTTACAGAACCTGGGCATGTGGCTCGAAAAAATGACAAGACATTTATGATGGGACGGAGAGGAGGAGAGCTGCACATTCAGCACGCCTCCTATGCGCCGGAAACTGTGCAAGGCGCTCCATATAGTTTTCTCATGGAACCCTCCAGGCAGGAGGTAGATGTGTTTAAAACGCCCGTTCTACAGATGAAGGAGCTGAGGCACACATGATGATGTCACTCTCCAAAGTCATGTAACTCCTAAGTAGCAGGGGTTAGAGTTGAACTTGAATTTATGAGGCCCTAAAGCCTAGATGACAGTCACTAGGGTTCACCCTAAGGAAATGGAGAACACGTCCTCAGAGCTAGAATGGTGCCTCTGGTTCAGTCCTGATTCTATTTCGGAAAGCTCATCTATAAATAGCTTCTCTCCTGCTTTCCACCTTTCCACGGGGAATCCACCCTCTCTCCTTTTATGGCGGCGGAGGGTCATTGGGTAGAAACCTTCCCGGGGATAACAGCTCTGACGATTGTGGGTGAGTGCCCTGCCCTGGCCTGAGCTGGGGGTGGTGGGGATAAGCTGCTGCGTCTTCCATCCATTCCTGCGGCCTCCTGGGACCCAACCATTTGTCCCAAATCTACCCTAATTAGGGAAGAAAAAGGAACTACTCCTTCAAAGATCTGTAGATGCGCAGCTGGCTGCCTTTTTTATTCCTCTCTGCCCACTAATTCCAAAGGCATCTGACAGGGATGCCACTCTGGTGAAGATGACAGGAAGTTTCTTGCCGTGGAAGCAACTGCGGTCTAAAAAAAGCTCTTTTTAAAAATGCTCAACTCGGAACTAAGAGCTTGCAGAGAATGTGTTATGGCTGCTGTTATTTATTTATACCACCGACTTCCAGAAAGGATTTTAAGTGACTCACAATAAAAACACAGCTAGATCTGGGGAGGGATAGTAGAAATGAAGAGCGCGGTGAGCTGCGAGACTGGCTCAGGGCGCCCTCCACCCCGCGGTGGGCAGCAGGCCTCTGGAAGGATGCCCAGTAGCCAAGGGCCACGCTTTAGAGATAAAATTGTGCTTCTGTTTTTCCTGCCTGATTGAAAGAAGTACAAAAAGTCTCCACCAAGTGTTTAGGAGGGTGGGCCCCAGTTGAGGACTGGGGGTGTCACCCCCATATTGGGGTGGATAGGAAAGGGCTCTGGAGGCCCACAGGGAAGCCTCTCTCTCAGGCCAGAAGCCGAGGCTGAGACTAGAATTGGAATGCACAGTGGTTTACGTGGGAGGGGATCCCAGGAAGCACTGGAGGAGCAGAGTGGGCAGGGAAGGAAGGCGGCCAGCGGAGTTCATCACTGTGGGCAGTCAGGGCTCCATCTAGTTGGGAAACTCTGGGAGATGGTTTAGAGGATACCTAAGAGTTATCCTGCCCAAGGAATCAGGAAGCCGAGGGGTTTACCTCTCCAGCTTCTACTCATCAGCGGTGAGGGACCGCCCACAGGAGTGCCAGTGCCTCACATGTGAGCCACCCTGTAGGAATCCCCGGTCACACCAGGCGCACGTTCCAGGAGGGGCAAATGCTGTACGTTGTGTTTGTCCTGCCCTCCTCCAGGCTAGAGTGGGAGCCGTTTCACCTGGTTACTAGATGAGTCAGGGTCTGGGGACTGACTTGGCTATGCTAAGATACCACCTGGAGGAGACGGAGGGGGCCCCTGATGTAGCAGTTAGTGGCCCTAGGTACTGCCATATAAAGTCTCTCACCTCATGACCTGGATCAAAAGTCTCCTCTTACAGGAAGACCTCCCTACTCTGATCTCTTTTCTTCTGACTTTCTTGGAGCTACAAGATTGATTTATTCCTGGGTCACAACTCTCTCCTCCTAGCTAGATGCCTCCAATGGCCCCAGCTTCCATTCTCCCGTTCTGGCAACCCTCTCAAGGGATTCTGTGTAGAGTGTAGTGGTTAAAAGAGTGGCCCTGGAGTCAGGCTGCTCAAGTTCAAGTCTCACCTCTGACCACTTGTTGACTGAGAGAAAGGGGAACGTTATCTAGGCTTTCTGTACTTGGCTTTCGCATCTGTAATATGAGGGCAACGAAACCCAATTCATAGAGTCCTCACAAGGAGTAAAAGAATTAGTATACTTACAGTACTTGGCATGGTCCCTAGTACATAGTAAATGCTCAATAAATATTAGATGTAATAATGATTACAATGATAATAAAGATTTTTGACCACAACCCATCAATTACTGTTCATTATCTACGAACTAAAATACAGACTCCTCAAGTGGCACTCAAGACTCTCCCAGGCTTTTTCCATTCTCTCTTCCCTCTCGCTGTCAACTCAACACAGTCCACCATTGCACAATGCCCGTTTTCTCTCATCTTCTCTTTTCATCCCTTCCTACGGTGCCAGCCTGAGTTCCCCCATTTCTTAGGGCAAGATGCCCCCACCTTGATACACAGCCCAATACAGGGCCCGAAATGCCACTGAATGGCTGGCAATTAGTATTTCTGAAAGAAAGAAATGCCATACTTTTTGGTATTGGTAACTCATCACGTTACTTTTCTGTATTGTCAGATGCACCCAGCATGGGGGCCAGGTCCCTGGAGGGTCAGTTCATAGCCAGTAGAAGACGCACGGCTGGATGATGCTTCTGCCACTCCACTGCTAGGTAGAAATATTTGGGTCCCATCACAGCAGCTTTTCACAAATTGTCTCATTTCATCCTCCCAACTGCTTCACATTATTCCCATTTAGAGATGGGAAACCTGAGGCTGAGAGACGTTAGGTAATTTGTTCACTGTCACGGGGCTGATGGTGGCTGAGCAGGACTTAAAGTACATTCGTGTACTTTGTTCTGGATACATGGGGTCACATTCCACTTTCTCTCCCAGGTGAAAATGAAAGCTCCCTTACAGTGTCCAGTCTTGTCCTGGCCTGTGTCCCTGCTCTGGGATGGGACAGTGCTCCCCAAGCTCAGTGAAGGCTGGTTGAGGTGAAGCCGAGCCTCTCATTCGGCCTGGCAGACATGCCAGTGTTTCTCCTGGCTGACACCAATGGGCGAGCTGGGCCCCAGGGTGCCACCCTGGCTCTTGCTTCTCAAAGCCCAGCTTATTTGCTCTTCAGAGTCTGGTCTGCAGACCAGCAGCATCAGTAGCCTGGCAGCTTGTTAGAAATGCCCCTAGGCCATGCCTGCTGCACCGGAACCTGCATTGTGAAAAGATCACCAGACGCGTCAGATGCACACTGAGTTTTGAGAAGTACTGCGCAAGGTTCTACCTCTGCTTCCAGATCCACCAGATCTGGGCTTAGCCAGGAGACTTATCTGTTTAAGGTGGGTACCAGTCCTTCAGAAGCTGGTGCCACCCAACTGTGTAGCCTCATCCTCATCTGAGAAGCCACCTAGGTGTGTGCTGGCATCAGTTTCCACAGGCGCCCCTCTGGGCCTGCTCCTGGTCCCCATTCTCGTGTTACAGATACCATGGTGGCACCGACATCCTAGCGCACTACACCCCATGCTCACCAAGAACTGCTGCAAAGCCCCTCCACTCACTGTGGTTTTTTCTTGCTGGTATCACTATTTTGTCTTTTTATCTTCAGGACCTCCCATGCTATCCTTTTTCTAGCATACCAGTCACCAAACCACCAAGGGCTACAATATTTGGATTTTTCTTTTTAAAGTATGTGTACTATAGCATTGTAGGTGAGCAACCTAAGGTTTTTAAAGAGGCCAGAACAACATTCTAGTTATATTAATTCATCAAATATCTATTGAGTGTCTATGACATGCCACAAGTTAGAAATATACATCAGTGAACATAATATATGCAAAAACCACTTGGAAAAATTAAAGCACCTCATGACCTCTCCACTGGTGCAACCTAGACCAGCCAACATACACCTCCTGCCTTATTCACTCACTTCTCTTTTTCCTCCTTCTCTCTATTTCTAATCTCAGTGAAAGGTCATTCCTGGCAGAAGGCTGGGAAGCAGAGGGGGAACATTCACTCAACAGGCCATGGGGCATGCCTACCCCAATCTTTTCTAGGCCCTGTCTTAGGGGTTTTGTACATGTCCTCTCACAGAAGGCAGACCCTGGCCCAGGAGAGGGCCTCTTTATCTTGGCTGGATTTCACAGCTGGATTGGGGTTTTTAAAAGATCGGGCCCTTGTTCCCCTGGGTCCTTCTGTACAGATGTCTGTCATGACCCATGTAACGCTTCACTGGCTTTACTTGTTTCCTTCACCAGATCAAAGTCTCTGAGAGCAGCACTCAGTAGTTCATGTTACCAGGGCTTGGAACACAGCCTGTCGTATAGCAAATGCTCAGTTAATGCATCCAGCGTGAATGCATGTGTGCATGACTGCAGGGAGGCGGCACTCAGCCTACTCACTGACTGCCCACGCCCAAAGGCTACCGCACAGAGGAAAGTGGCTACTACATAGCCCCAGCCGGCTAGCATGCAAGTCCCCACCAGGCCCAGTGCAAAGCGTATGTCTGTGTGTGTATCTCTGCACACATGCATGTGCGAGGTTTCCACGCGCCCAGCAGCCCGGGGCAGGAGTGTCTCTTACCGTGGTGTATTTACCCAGCTGGCAGAGCGAAGGAAAAGTTTCCTGGTGAGCTTTTCGGATCTTCTCTGTGAGATCGTCCAGCTCAGCTGTCATTTCATAGCTCTCTGTGCATTCTTGCTTCGAAGTCTCCTTCTTTTTCTTGTTCCTGTCATTCCTGACAGCTGGAAATGAGAGAGAAGGCACATCAGGGGTCACTGAAGGCTGGGCCTGTGCTCCTGGGCTGGGAGGTTCCACCCCCCGATGCTGCCTTAAGCTCATTTGATATTTGGGACAGAAACAGTGGGAAGAGGTGGTAATGATACACCTCCCTGGAAAAGGGATTTGGCGGCCGGGGAGTCCCGGCAGAGAGCTAGGTTTGTCTTTCTGTATATGCACGTGCCTGTCAGTTATTTGGAAAGCTTGGGCTCAACCCAGGAGGCTCAGAGTCTTGGCTTGTTGTGAGAGAACTTCTTCTGTGGACTGGATCTCTTGAAGAGAGAAGGATTTTTCCAACAGCTTTACCCTCAAAGGGGATGCCCTGAGCGACACTGTAAGGGAAGGGTCAGGTCTCTGAACAGAGCTCCTGTTGCTTCATAATTAGTATTTCCTAGTTACACATTTTGGTGTCTTTGCTTTTTACTTTTGAAGAAACTCATCTGAGAGGAGATGAGGATGATGGTTTTTGTCCCTTCGTGTTTTTCTTCTTTCTAAACTTTCTGTATGAACCCTGTTATCTGTTTTGGTCTATAAAGTTACTTAAAAACAATAATGGATACAGTATGAAACCTTCAGCCTGGAAAACCGTTCATTCCCTTATTCGCTGGTGGCCACTCAACTCCACATTGTGTCCGGAACACTGGACCCACAGCAGGCGTGTGTCCTCTCCCTGTGCATGCTCCGGACCAAGCACGGTACCGGGCACAAAGTCAGGGCCCAGGACACAGTGCTACGGAAGCCCGCGCTTCCTCCTGCAGCACAGGCCTCTGCTGTGACTGCAAAACCGCGTGTCACTCAAAGCTCTAGCCCCTGACTAGGATCTCATGGGGAAAGAAACTGAAACCCTGGGAGGTAGACAGGTGAAACCAGACCATGCCACCCCCTCCAGGAAGTCCATGTTCCCTGGGGGCCCAGTGGGTGCCAGGCTGGACGCTGCCTGGCTATGCCTGCCGCCACCGTGACCTGGGAATCTGCACTGCAAAATGACCCAGGGCATAATCTGATCTGCCTAAGAGGATCTGGCCTGAGTTGCCTCCCTAAGAGCACATGGGTGATTTGAGAACTGGCAGTTCCCTGTGTCCACACCATGAGAACACCCATGTTTGGGGTGGGAGCTGAGGGCAGAGTAAGACAATAGCAGGAGGAGAGAGGAAGCGGTGAAAGGAAAGAGTAAGGGGTGAGAAGGGGGAGTAAAGAAAGAAAAGGGAGGTGAGTCGTACTACAAGGTCAGTGTCTGTATAAGCCACTCCTACCTAACTAGGAGGGAGGGCAGCTGGGGAGAAAAAGAACGTTTTTTTGAGTATGTTGAACATGGTATCACAGTATCTCACTTGATCCTCTTATCAGGTAGGCAAGTTTAAACCCATTTTACAGATGAAGAAACTGAGTCTTGGAGAAGCTAAGAAATATGCTCAAGTTCACATGGTTGAGAAGTTCTTTCCTCACTTGGACTCACTCACTTATTCCTAAGGAAACCAACAGGTCTGAAGAGAATACCCTTCTAGACGGTTTCCTTCCCCCAGGACTCTGAAATGACACTGCTCATTGCTCAGAAAATTTCTAGATCACTGGCGAAATGAGTGGGTAGCGCAGCCTCAGCTGTATTCTTTCCCAGTGCAGACTGGCCCCTCGAGACCTCTGTGACTGGATCCCTCCCAGCCAGTGCAGGACGCTGGGTGAGAGCGGGTATCGTGGTTCAAAGCAGAGAGAATGCAAAGAAGCCGGTGGGCAAAGGAGACACAATGAGGGGGGAAGGTGTCATGCAGGGTGGCAGAGACGGCATGGTGGCTCTCTGTGAGGTGGAGCCTGGACTGCTGAAGGGAGGGAATGCCTGAAGGCTTGTGTGTGAGTGCGCAGGATCTCAGGTGACAGACTCCCCTCTTTTCCCCTGCCTTTGCCAATGGCCTTCCTTAGCTAATGAAAAAGTCAAATCTAAGCAGGGATGGTCCTTCTGAAACACAGCCCCGAAGAAAAGTACTCGGCAGTTTTTCACAAAGTTATACACAGAAGTACCAAGTGACCCAGCGATTCCTCTCCTCGGTGTACACCCAAGAGAACTGAAAATACGTGTCTATGTAAAACTTGTCCATGAATGTTCATGACAGCGTGACTCACAGCAGTTGAAAAGTGGAAAGAACCCAAATGTTCATCACCTGATGATGGAGAAGCGGAATCTAGGATGTCCTTATGGTGGAATATTATTTGTCATAAAAAGGAATGAATTATGGACACATGCTGCAACACAGATGAAGCTTTAACACATATACCGTAAAGAAGCCAGTCACAAAAAGCCACACATTGTGTGATTCTAATGATATGGATGTCCAGAACAGGCCAATCCAAAGACAGAAAGTAGGCTTGTGGTTGTCAGGTCCAGGGGCCAGTTGGTGGGGAGGGAGGATTGGGAGTGCTCACGGGTTCAGGGTTTCTTTTTTTAGGAGATGAGAATATTCTGGACTTACTGGTGAAGGCTGCACAACTTAGTGGATCCACTACGCACCACTGAATTGTACAGTTTAAAATGATGAATGCTATGCTATGTGAATTATATCACAAAACAACACCAACAAGAAACCCAGAGCCCTTTGGGAGGCCACACATTGCTAAATACTAGGAACTGCTTTGAGTCGATCGTGAAGCGGAGATAACACCTACAGCTCCATTAAAACGCAGCAGCAACTGCAATCAATACCCTTTAGTGATTGTATAGCAAGGGCCACTGGGGCACCAGGAGGTGAAGAATCCTAGCTCACGAAATCCCCACAGTAAGCCAGGTGAGGTGGGCATGATGACCCCATTTCTACACTCAAGGAACTTGAGGCCCAACACCACCATGTTTGAAAGTAGTCAACCCAATGTGCATTTCAGTGGAATGTGCAGAAAGAGAGGCCACCAAACAAACTAACAACCCACCCAAGGATTCCCCAGAATTCTATCCACAGGGAGCTCTTCAGGACCTGTGTCTGCTCCTAAGCATTCTGCTTCACTGTCTCCATCCACCACCAGGGGCCTGGAAAACTCAGATGAACAAACACGGCTCTAGAGGGTTACCAGGAGAGAGGAGACACCGGGAGCTCTCACCATGGAGTATCTGAACCAAGCAAGAAAGGGAGGGGTGAGGTCCTGTGGGAAGGGGCCCTGGGTGAGCTGTAGCTGGGCACCAAGTTGGGAGTCTCTGTTGGGTTGTACAGTGATAGCACCTGCCATTTGCAAAATCACAACGGTGAAGCCAGAGCACCATGTTCTGAGCTTTGGGCCCAGTTTGGAGCACCCTTTGCAGCTGACTCAAAGGGGACCATGGTGTAACCTCAGGCTGCTTTCCACAGTCCTTCTGTCCCCTAAGCGAAGTCCCACCACCACTGTCGATGTAACTAAAGGACTCCTGGAATTATCACAAACTCTTCCACACGAGCAAAATGCAGGAACAACCCCTCTGGTGATAATGCCCCAGTTACATACAGCTTCATAAGTCGATGGACAAATTTTCTAAACATATGGCTTCAGCAGCTGCTTCCCTCAATGGTTTTAAACTCTAGAAGAACGCAGACACAGTGTCTGAGAAGGGCTGCCAAGAACCACCAGAATCACGGAGGTGACACAGTGCACAAGAAGCCACAGGGGCCTGGGGATGGTAGCTTTGTCCAGGTTCTTGGGACCATTGGTCCCTCTGAGGCCTCATGGTCAGCAGCTCCTGGGGCAGGGCAGGGCTCATTCCCCTGGAGGTCAGCAGTGGGAGGCAAGGGGTGACACAGTACTGCTGGGGAAGTCTGGAGATTAGAACAAGTGCCAGCTCCACCACTTACCACCTGGGGTCAACTCCAGAGGAGGCAGCTCCTTTCAGAGCCTCCCCCGAGATGGCAGTAGCACCTGCATGGAGACACACAGATGGTGGGTTAGGTGGGAAGGAGGTAGATGGCTGTAAAGGCCCATGTGGGTTAGTTATGCAGGAAGAATGTAAGGCCCTTCTGTGGGGAAATGGATGCCCTAAACACCAAGGACTTGTGGGGATTACTGTGGGGCCTGTGGCTGTCAGTGGCAGAGGAGACTTGCTATAAAAAATGGTGCCTGGAGAAGCCATTGCAGTGGCACCAAATGAGTGGGTGGATTCATTTGTTCCTTCATTGTTTAATTCATTCATTCAATCAATGAATATTTACTGACCATTTACTACATGCCATTGTGACACAGGATGGTTCTTGCTGCCATGAAGCAAAAGCTTATGGTAGGAGACAGACATGAATCATATAATAAAACAGTGACAGTAATAATAATAGAATATTGGCATCACTATTATGACATGTACTGCAATTAATATATGAGAGTATTATTTACCACAATACTGAAAGTGTTCATTACAACTATCATAAAGCCTTCTATTCATGGTAGACCATTCAATCCTTACAACAGCTTAATAGGGTAGATACCACTATTATGCCCATTTTGCAGATGAGAAAACGGAGGCACAGGAAGGTGAGTACCCTGCCTGAGGTCATGCATCCTGTGAGTGATACAGTCAGGATCAGAACTTAGCAAACCCAGTGTGCTCTGCTGAGTCTGAGTCTACCCCATGTACACACATTCTACAGTGTAGTGAGTGTAATGAAGCATGCTACAGGGACCTGTGCCTGTGTATTACTGGGTGTGGCAGGGGGATCCTGCTGGTCCTAGATTAGGAAGCTAACCCTGGGGAATTGGGAGGGTAAGCTGAGGGGTGCTATGGGACGGTGGGTGGGGAGATGACTGTCTTCTCTGGGAGCATAGGGTGTGCATCTGATGCTCAGCTCCAAAGGCTGCCTGGGATGTTTGATGGTGGGCCTCTTCTTTCACTCTGATTGCAACTGACTGCTATATGCACTCATATACCTATGCCAGACCTGGGGGTTTGACAAGCTGCTTTCAGGTATGGTGCACCCCTGGGAGGGAATGGGGAGGCAATGAGAGGAGCAAACACTGTCAAGCCTGCATC